AACGCCTCCCAGACACACAAAAGAGAGAGAACAAGAGAGGTGGAGCAGGTGAATCCACAGAAAAGATCTGAGAGTGTGTCAGAATCCCTAGCCTGCCTGGCTGCTGAAGATGGTTTTCTCTTGAAGCCAGTAGTAAAGACTGCTTCTTCAGATACAAAGTCAGCAAAAGGAAGACACTTCAAGGAACACCCCCCCACCCACCCACACACACAAAACGACAACAAAACATGACATACCACTACCAAAGGAACATTTTCCAGTCACTGACCCTCAAAGAAATGGAGATTGTTATGATTTGGATCTAAAATGTCCCCCAAATCTCATGTGTTAAAGGTTTGATCACCAACCTGTGGTGCTATTGAGAGGTGGTAAAAACTGGGAGGTGAGGTCTAGTTGAAGGAAGTAGACCACTGGGACATGTCCTTGAAGGTTAGATCTTGTCACCAGCTACTTCCCTCCACGCTCGCCCCATCCATTCTTCCCAGTTGCCAGGAAGTAAGCAGCTCTGCTCTATCATATGCACCCTGCCATGATGTTCTGCCTTGCCACAGGCCCAGAACAACAAATCCAAATGACCATGGACTAAAACCTCTGAAACCATGAGCCAAAATAAATATTTCCTTCTTTAAGTTGATTTTTTCAGGTATTTTGTCACAGTGACAGAAAGCTGAATAACAAAGATCTATTAATTGCCTGATGAATAATTCAAAATTATTGTTTTAAGGAAGCTCAGCAAGCTATGAGAACATGGATAGAACTGGGGATGTGGCTAAGTGAGTGAGTGCTTGCCTGGTATGTGTGAGGCCTTGAGTCTGATTCCCAGCACCAAAAAGAAAAAGGAAAAAAGAAAAAAAAGAGAGAGAGAAAGATGGATAATAACAACAACAAATCAGGAAAACAAAACTTGAACAAAATGAAATGTTCAACAAAGAGATAAAGATTATTTTTTAAAACTTCTGGAGCTGAATGGTGAGACTGCAAATTGTTGCGGCCAATATGGAAAGCAGTATGGAGATTCCTTGGAAAACTGGGAATGGAACCACCATTTGACCCAGCTATCCCACTCCTCAGTCTATACCCAAAGGACTTAAAATTAGCATACTACAGGGACACAGCCACATCAATGTTTACGGCAGCATAATTCACAATAGCTAAACTGTGGAACCAACCTAGATGCCCTTCAATAGATGAATGGATAAAAAGAATGTGGCATATATACACAATGGACTATTACTGAGCAGTAAAAGAGAATAAAATCATGGCATATGCAGGTAAATGGATGGCGTTGGAGAAGATAATGCTAAGTGAAGTTAGCCAATCCCAAAAAAACAAATGCCGAATGTTTTCTCTGATATAAGGAGGTTGACTCATAGTGGGGTAGGGAAGGGGAGCATGGGAGGAATAGACAAACTCTAGATAGGGCAGAGGGGTGGGAGGGAAAAGGAGGGGGCAGGGGTTAGCAAGGATGGTGGAAAGTGATGGACATCATTATCCAAAGTACATGTATGAAGACACTTTATATGGTGTAAACATACTTTATATACAACCAGAGATATGAAAAAATGTGCTCTATATATGTAATAAGAATTGTAATGCATTCCACTGTCATTTATTTTTAAAAATCAATTAAAAAATTCTGGAGCTGAAGATACAATGAATGAAAATTTTAAAACACAATAACAGGGACTGGGGTCCTGGCTCAGCGGTAGAGCACTCACCTAGCACTATTCAAAGACCTGGGCTCGATCCTCACATAAAAATAAATAAAATAAAGGTACTGTGTCCAACTGCAACAAAAAATAAATAATTTTTTTAAAAAGCACAATACACACAAATGGCACGACTCTATATCATGTACAACCAGAGAAATGAAAAGCTGTGCTTCGTTTGTGTACAATGAAACAAAATGCTCCTGCTGTCATGTATAACTAATTAGAAAAATTTTTTAAAAACACAATACAGAGCTTCAGCAGCAGACTTGGTCAAACAGAAGAAAGAATCTGTGAACTTGAAGACAGGATATTTGAAAGGAGGAAAAGGAAAATGAATGAAAAGGGATGGAAAAAGATCACAGAATTTAGGGATACTGTCAAGAGAAATAATATACAGATGAAGGAATTTCTAGGAGAATAGGGAAAGGGTGAGAAAATTAGTTAAAGAAAATAATTGCTAAAAACTTTCCAAATGTGGGGAGCAATAAGGACATCCAGGTACATAATGTTCAAAGGTTCTCAAGCAAGATCAACCCAAAGAGGACTGCTTCACTGAGACACAATCATGTTTTCTCAAACAAAAGGAGATTCTTTTTTTTGTTTTGTTTTGTTTTGCAGTACTGGAGATCAAACCCAGGGCCTCACACATGCTAAGCAGGCACTCTACCACTGAGATATAACCCCAGTCCCCAAAAGGAGAATGAATCTTGGAAGCAGCAAGAGAAGAGAAGATTCATCACAAACAAGGGAACCTCCATTAGACTATCAGCAGATTTTCTTGCAGAAACCCCATGGGCCAGGAGAGAGAGAGAGAGAGAGATGATATGTCAAAAGTGCTGAAATCAATAAACTGCTAACCCAAACTACCTTACCCAGCAAACCTGCCCCTTTTAGAAATAAAAGAGAGACAAAGTCTTTCCTAGATATGAGAAGCTGAGGCAGTTCACCACTTGATCTGCTTTACAAAAAGTGCTAAAGAGGCTGGGCTGTGGCTCAGTGGTAGCACACTTGCCTGGCATGTGTGAGGCACTGGGTTCAATTCGCAGCACCACATATGAATAAAAAAAAGGTCTATCAACAACTAAAATATATATATTAAAAAATAATAATGCTAAAGGATGCTAGCATGGTGGTGCACGCCTGTAATCCTAGCAGCTCAGGAAACCGAAGCAGGAGGATTGCAAGTTCAAGACCAGCCTTGGCAACTTAGCAAGATCCTGTATCAAAATCAAAATAAAAAAGGTCTGGGGGTGTACCACAATAGAGTCCCCTGGCTTAAATTTCTAGTACTTCAAGGAAAAGAAGAAGAAGGAGGAGAGGAAGGACGCAGAGGAGGAGGAGAAAGAAAGAAAGAAATGCTAAAGGGGATTCTTTAAGCTAAAGTGAAAGAATGGTAATTAGTAATATGAAAGTACAGGACTCACTGGTAATGTTAAGTCAACATTCAAATTTAGAATACTCTAATACTGTAATTGTGGTATGTAAATCACGTTCAACTCTGATTTAAAGATTCAAATATAAAAGTATTAAAAATAATTATAGCTACAATAATCTATTAGCAGATACATAATATAAAAAGCAGTAAATTATGACATCAAAAACCTAAAATGGGAGGAGATAGTTAAAACTGTAGAGCTTTTGTACACAATTGAAGTTAAGTCACCAGTTGAAAATTTACATAAGCCAGATTTTTCACCAAGTAAAACAGCAAGAAGACAGTAAAAAGGAAGATACGCAGAAAATAATGAATAAAATGGCAATAGTAAGTCCTTACCCATCAGTAATTACTTTAAATAGAAATGAACTAAATTCTCCAATCAAAAAATATAAAGAGGGCTGGGGTTGTAGCTCAGAGTTAGAGTGCTCACCAAACACATGAGAGGCACTGGGTTGGATCCTCAGCCCTACATGAAAATAAATAAATAAAATAAAGTTATTGTGTCCATCTATAACTAATTAACTAACTAAATTAGTTAATTAAAAAAAACATAAAGAAGCTGAATGGATTTTTAAAAAACAAGGTCCAACTTTTTGTTGTTCAGTGAGGACCCACATAGGCTAAAAGGGGTTTATTGTTCTCACCTGTGGAGATGATAATCTTCCACTTATTGAGGATCAGACGAAATAAGGAATTTAAGCTACCGGTTCCAAGCCTGAGTCCCCAGCAGGTGCTCAATGACAGGATTTATTAATGCTGCACAGGCCCAGAAAGGCCCAGGGGAGGCAACTGATTGCACACATTTCCTCCCAATTCCAAATCCATCAATGTCACATTGGTATCTTAGAACTAGTCATGGTGGGAGAATTTATACCAATGAAATTAGCAAATTCCATACATTAGGAATCTTCTGAGCAGGTTTTTAAATTTACCAGACATTCCAGGTTATCGTCATTATGTATTTTCCTGACGTGACTGCTCACTTCAGTCAGAAGCAGCCCATTCAACAAAATGGTCTCTTGATTTCCCCACCCCAACTTCTCATTTTCAGAGCCCTCACTGAAAATTTAGTCTCACAGTATTGTAGGGAGTGACTCAGTCAGTCAAAATGCCCACTGGACACATTTTTTTTTCTTTTCTGTGATACTGGGGATGGACCTGAGGCCTTGCATGTGCTAGGCAAGTGCTCCGTCACTGAGCTGCACCCCCAGACCTTTCTGGGTTTTTTTTTTTTGAGTCAGGGTCTTGCTAAGTTGCCTGGGCTGGCCTCAAACTTGCAATCCTCCTGTCTCAGCTTCCTGAGTAGCTGGGATTACAGGCAAGTACCACTGCGCCTGGCTGAACACATTTCATGATGCTGGATGTCACACACCTTTAGAAACAGGAAGCCTTTCCCTTTTCCTTGCCTTTTCTGAGCAGAAGCTGGGTTAGTAGTTCCAGGGTTCCCAGGGGTTTCAAGACGCTCTCTTCTGAGATGGTGTGTTTGTCACTCATGAGCTGGTCTCTTCCCCCGTGTTATTGGGTGGACTCTGAGTTCTGTCTTTCTTCTTGAGCTCATGGCTGCTGTGTCCAGGAATGCACAGGGAAGACTCCTCTGTGGGGACATCTTGCCCATGCACAATGCAGAGTCTTCACCCTGGAGTCCAATCCCTCTCAGACTCCCTCCCATACTGTGAAGGTACTTTGGTGGACTTTGAGGGAGCAAGAAAGGGTAGTGAGAAGACTCCAGCTTCTGAAAAGCTTGGGGTAGTCAGTGTCACTGGAAAGGGGAATGGTTGCATGGTGACGGTGCCTGGGTTTCTCGCCTGTGGGCTGATCAGAAAGGAGAAGTGTGGTCAGGCTGGTGCTCATTGCTTTAGGGGTGGGGAAGAGCCTCTCGCCAGCTGCAACTGAGCACAGCACTCAGGCCAGCGCTGCCTCCTCAGCTGCTCGCATCTGGACCCCCTGGCAGTTCAGGTAGGCACTATGGCTTTCCCAGGGGCAATTTCCTGCTTTCTCTACCCCAGGTATCTGCCAGTGTTGGCATCTAGGTCTGTGTCTATGTGAGCAAATGAACTAGGGATAAACTGAACCTAAAGCCTTGGGACAACCACTGGGTGGGGTTGGAGAAACACCAGCCTTGAGATATCCACTCTGCTTATCATTGGTTGTGTGACCTAAGGCATCACTTCATCTCTCTGGGTTTCTGTTTCTTTGCGTATGTCTGGGAGGATGAACTCTACCTTTCAGGTTGAAATGAGAATGACAGGGAGTGAGATGTGTGTAAACTGTAAGAGGCTTATTATCATTCCTGGATACTGATGGTGAGATCTGGTATGTTCTCCTGTGAGAGAATTCTCATGGCACTGGGCTAGAGTTGGGGCGGGGGCCAAGGCATCAACTAGGTAAACTTTAGGGTATGTTTCTCAGATGAAAGTACTAGGACATCATCAGTTTGGGTATCTTTGTCTCTGCATTTCTGATGTTTAGGGATTTATAAGCCTTTCCGCCTTCCAGAGGCCTCGGAATCATGGTGTCCTGGGTGGGATGAGATCTTGACTCACCTCTCTGCTCTTGCCCTCTAGAAATTTAATTTTCGAGGAGACCTGGGGTCAGATTTTTCCATTTCTACTTCCACTGCCTCATGCACTTGTTCCTAAAACCACTCTCTTCCCTGGTGCCTTTGCACACACATACCCAAAGTGGCACAGCTGCCAGGTGTGGTGGTGCACGCCTGTAGTCCCAGCACTTAGGACATGAGTCAGGAGGATCATTTGAGTCCAGGAGTTTGGACTGAATCCAGCCTGATTGACATAGTGAGATCCTCTCTAAAAAAAAAGAAATGTAATCCCAGCAACTCAGGAGGCTGGGGCAGGAGGATCACAAATTCAAAGCCAACCCAGGCAGCTTAGTGAGACCCTGACTCTAAAAAGCAAAAAAGGGTGAGGGTGTAACTCAGTGGTAGAGTCCTCCTAGGTTCAATCCCCAGTACTAAACATGCACACACACGCGTGCACACACAGGCGTGCATACACACACACACACACACAATAAGTGAGCATTGCTGAGCCTGCAGAACGCAAAGCTGCAATCTTCTTTTTAATTTTTTAGGATTTTTTTCCCCTCTGAAAATTTGAAAGTTGAGGAAAATAACTCCAAATTTTGCTACCTAGAACCACTGGTGCCTTCTAATGGTGTTACTGCCAGAGAGCCACTGAGTGGCAGAATTCAAGTTTTCTTCCACATTCTTAGAACCAACCAAACAAGTAAAATAAGCAATTTTTTTTGGCCCCAGGAAAGATTTCCAAGTAGGAGAAATCTAGGGGTAAACTGAAGCTGAGCAATCCCCAACTCTGGAAGACTCTAATGAGGGCAAACACATCATACAGAACATCTTAGAAACTTTAGAAAATCAGCCTATTTGGGAGAGGGAACCAGAAGCTTTTAAAATAAGTGACAGTTGGGCATTGCTTATTGAAATCCCAGGGACTCCAGAGACTAAAGGAGGAGGATTGCAAATTTGAGACCACCCTCAGCAACTTAGTGAGACCTTATTTCAAAATAAAAGATAAAAAGGATTGGGGGTGAGGCTCAGTGGTAGAATGCCTCTGGGTTTAGCCCCCAAGCACCTCAAAATCAATCAACAACAACAAAAGTCTCCCAGTAATTTGCTCATGATGTTTTGTTGTTAACTTTCATCCTATTACTGCACCCTAGCCCATCAAGTAATTATATAATTTACTTCTAGTCCCTCTCTATTTGATCTCTGGGTAGTTCCATGTTTACCTATACGTAGATGAATATATTTATGCATTTAGGATTTATTTTCTTCTGATTGCTTTTTAGACTAGATTTCTAAAAATACTGAATCAAAGGACATGGCCATTTTAAAATGTATTGCCATTTGATTAAAAAAAATTTTAATATTCACATATACTGCCATTGACCAGTGAGGATCAATTTTCCCACAGCTTTGTCAGATTAAGATGTTATTGTTATTTTCTTTCTTTTTTTTTCCCCTAGCAAGTAGAAAAAGTAATTTCTAGCTGTGAGCTGACAAATACACCTGACAGGCAATCAGTTATGATGGGTGATCACATATGAACAGAATCAAGTCCTGTAATGAAACAAATCAGGCTCAAGATTAATCTGAGAGCTGTCATAGTATGACAAGCTATCCCACTGGGAGAAGCACTTGCAAGAGCATGACTCAGCTCAGCCAATGACCTGTCCAGTTTAGCCTGGCCTTCTCAATTCCGTAAGCTTTATATTCAGATCCCATATTTTTTTTTCTAGTGGAACAATTAACATGATGTCAGTATTACAGCATGATACAAAATAAAGAATGTAGAATAAGAATATTATCAAAGTGCACAACACGCAGATGAATTACTGTAAACCTGTCACTACATTACTTACTTCATATACAGGAATATGAGCTTACTCACATTTTATATCACAAAATAATTTTGTAATTCTATATTATAATACAATGTTTGTAAATTAAAAGCATCTCTATTGTTCTATAAGGTTTAGCAAGGTAATCACAAGTTAGTTTTTTAAAAAAATAAGGGCTAGGTGGTGCCTGCATCCCAGTGGCTCAGGTGGCTGAGGCAGGCAGATCAAGTGTTCAAAGCCAGCCTCAGCAGCTTAGCGAGACCCATATCTCAAAATAAAAAAAATAAAATAAAAAAAAGAGCTGGAGGTGTGGTTCAGTGGTTGAGTGCCCCTGGGTTTAATCCCCAGTAGGAAAAAAAAAATGGCTGGGGATGTCGGCCAGTGATAAAGCACTTGCCTAGCATGCACAAAGCCCTAGGTTCAATCTCCAGCACCATAAACACACACAAAAACCATCACACAAATTCACAAGTAAAACATCACCCACACAATGACACAAAGTAACTACATAATATATGTAAAAATATTTACATATCTTCTTTAGCACTAAGCATATGACTATAATCTATGTTTATACAATGTATACATGTCAATTTGCTAAAAAAAAAAATTCCCAATGCTGTTTGTTTTAACACATGCATACATCATAGTACTTAATTGACAAAGAAGCTAAACAGATCATAATGTATAATTAAAAATCAATAAGCTAGCTGGGCATAGTGGAACACACCTATAATCCCAGCTTCTCCAGAGGCCGAGGCAGGAGGATGAAAAGTTTGAGACCAGCTTGGGCAATTTAGCGAGACCCTAAAAAAACAAAGACTTGGGGATATAACTCATAGGTAGGACACTTGTGGGCTCAATCCTCAGTACAACAACAAAAATCAAACCAAAAACAAACAAAAAAACCAGCCCAGTAAGACAATACTTGCTCACCATGCACCTCCTCCCCTGAAACCTTTTATATCCTGCATCCCTTCCCTCTCCCCCAGAAGCCTAAGCCCTTTATCCCTCTCTGTATATAGAGAGCTCAATATAAGATTCAGTCATCTTGCCCCTACTTGAAAAATAACTCCAAATTTTACCATGTTAGACTCATAATAAAATTTTTATGTTCTTTAAAAAAAATTCAAGAATCACAGCAGCTAAACTCCATGACCCACTTAGGACCACATCTATAAAGATCAGTAGCTTTTTCTTGAGTTGCAAGAATTCCAGGCTTCTAAGATGTGTGTGATTTCAATGATACTGCCAGGAGTTCCATAGTGGCTAGACTTTCTGGCAGAATATTATTTGGAGTCCTCAGCAAACTCTAAGAGCCTGCTAATTTTAGTTTAAGAACATTAAATTTTAGTAGTTATTAATAATTTAAGAAACTATTGGTCCTTTATTTTCATGTAAAAATGAAAGTGTATAAAATTGCAGGCCAAATGACCAAAGACTTGAGGAAAGCATTGACTTTTTTGGATGCATTCAAAGCCCATTCAGAGGACCTGGTGTCCATGCAGAATCAAGCAGTGGATTGGAGGGGGAGGATTAGGAAGGAGAAGAGGTATGCTTCAACACCCCCCTCCATTTGTTTTATGCCCTACCTCCAAGTCTTCAGAATAAAATAATTCATAGATTTGTGTGTGGTGGATTGATATTTTTCTCAAGTTTATTTCAAATGTGAATTTGTAAATTACGCCCTTATGGAGAAAGTCTTGCCATTTTTATTGATGTTTACTTGACACCTAAATAAAAAAAGAATGCTGTTATGCAAATAAAGCTTCAAGATAATGAGACTGCTGCCCCAAATATCTCCTGTGTACAAACCACAGAGCTGCTACCACTTTGGTAGGAAGTTAAATACCCTGGGCATGGCTGTTCTAAACCAGTTGAGCCTAGGGTGAGGAAGGGCACAGGGAATCCTGGGAACTGCAGGACACTTAAAGGGCAGAGGGTTAGCAGGGCACAGGAAGTGTGGGGGAAGGGAGTGCTGAGGCTGATGAGGTGGGCAGGGTGCCCATAGAGAATGCCCTTGACCGTGCTAAGTAGAGGTGACACCAGTCTTCACTTTGCTCCAATCATAAAGAATCACTGAAAATCTTATGACAGGGAAGGCCAGGGTCATATTTACATTTGGCAGCAAGTGGAGGGCCAGATAGGTGATAAGGGGCCAGCAAAAATTCAATGGACCAGGCGCAGAGATAGTGAAGACTTGGACTAAAGCAGGGAAAGAAGATATGGAGAAGAGGGAATGGATTTGAAGACTCAAGTGGAGGTGAAATATAGAGGTAGGCTGTCTGTCTGAGGTGGGTGGACACGGGCCCATGGGAACAGGAAGAATGAGGCTGGGGCTTCCAGCTTTTCACAGAATTGCAAGAATAGAGAAAGAAAAGACACTGGACTCCTTCTAATTTACCCAGCCCTGCTCTGCCCCTGGCACACTCTGATTTGAAGTTATTGTCAACTATCCACATGGGCTGTTGTTGGTGCTGATGTCAGCGAGAAGGTCAGGTGGGAGCATGGAGCCCCTAAACAGGATCAGAGAGTCTGGGAACCAGAAGGGAATCAGGCAAGAACTGCTGATGCTGATGAGCCTGGATGATATCTACCGTCTCCCAGGACCTTGAGATCTAGGTTGAGATCAGCTCAAACTCTCACTACACAGCCTGCTTCAGGGCCTTCCAAAGCCCTCCCTGGGATGTCTGCAGTTTCCCTAGGAGGTCACCTCTTTCCTGCTGGTCAGCACTGGCTCACAATCTCTGGAGGAGTGTATTGCACAGATCCAGGAGTGAACTGAGCCCTTTTCCTGGATTCCCAGGTCACCAAAACAGATCTGCTCACAAAAGCACTCGGTAGATGCAGAGACTACATAAAGATTGGGCAGTGGGGTACCAGTAGGGTGTGTAGTGCAGCATGACAACTACAAACTGAATATAACACAGGCCTGTTCTGAAATCATCTTTGCAGTCCCATTCCTGGGAACTTCTTTTCCCCCAGTGCTAGGAATTGAACCCAGGGCCTCGCATGTGCTAAGCAAGCTCTCTATCACTGAGCTACATCCCCAGCCCTTCTAAATACTTTCTGTCAATTGCTTCTCCCACCTCTGCCTGGCTTCCCTACTTCGCTTCCTCCCATCCCTCTTCTTATTACCCCCTACCACCGACTCCATGTTCTTCTCCCTCTATGACCCAGAGGAATCCAACACTCCCCAGTTTCTACTAGCAAACTTCACTCCTGGCCCAGCCTCCTCCCCTAAATGTTCTGCAGTGTCCTCCTGACAGTGGCTTCCTTTCTTGGCACTTGCATTTGTTAACAGAACATTGTGGTTTGCTCTTAATAATGCCCCCATGTCTGGTAATCTTCTTCTCTTCAGCATGTATTCATCTTTTGGAAGCATTTCCACCTAACAAGACAGGTGAGACATTAAGGGTCTTGTTCTGAGCAGGTTCCCAGTACACTGGAGACAAGAAACCTATTCTCTTGATGCCCAGCCCAGGTCCCTTCAATATTTCATATTTATGTGCATATGTGTGTACCTTTCGTGTTGTAAATGATTTCTCACTGAGAAGATATCTCGGTTGGAAAAAAACAAGATAAATGCTAAATAAACTCACAATCTCAGATGTGAGATTGTGAATTTATTTAGAATTTCTGATGAAGGTTCTGTTGCTGTCTCCCTGGAAATACCTTCTAGAGAATGTGAGTCTTGGGGTTGAGATGTGATTGCCTTTAGCTGCTCTCCCATCCCACCCTCCTTCTCCCCCACCCAGTGGAATGTCTTGCTCAATTCTTTCCCCCGAAGAAGAAACCACTCAGAATTGCAACAGGCTTCTCACTGATGTTCCTTGAAAATGTCTTGGGCAACTAGAAGAATAGGAAGAAACCAAGGGGAAGCTGGACCCCCCCACACCTCCCCCAGAGCTCCCACGGTTCTGCTTCCCAGCCAGCCTCTGGTGGCTTTGGAAATATACGACATGACACACGAATTTCAGAGCCTTGAGTCAAATGATCTACGACCCTGCATCGTCACAAGGGAAGTCTGCCCATAATGGACTTCATGTATTCACCGACATATATGGAGCATTTACTGTGTCCCAGGTGATGTTCTCGGAACTAGAAACGGGTAAAGAAAGAAGCAAAGCCTTGCTCACAAGCTGACATGTGTGTTGATCTGTGCACCAGTGTGGGAGGCAATACAATTAACAGAACAAACTCATCAGAAGACAACTGTCGTTGTAATGGTCTCATCTGGAGGGCGAATGCATTTCACATGTTGATCATAACATGTTTCGGGGTAGCAGTGTCCCTTTGAATGGCTGAGCAGCACTCATCAGGAGGGGCCTGGGAGGAGGAAGGCAGCCCTAGAAGGAAGTGCCCTGGGGATGTACAGTATGTGGGAGGCAGGGCTGGAATGTGGAAGAGGAGTCTGTTCTCCAGCCTCGCCCACCACCCCAACCCGTCCCCAGAAAATTGACTTTGCCTCCTACTTTGGAGGAAATGGAAACTTTGGGGTGTGAGCTCTCAACTTCCTGTCCTCAGACCTCAGTCTTCTCTGGTTCCATTCAGCCTCAACCCCCTGTCTTCATCCTTGTTCCCTTTTGAAAGCTCATTCTCTTATGTCGGATATTGTTCCTGCTCTCTCCTATCCCTGTATTTCACTCTGGTCCTTGCTCCTGGCACTGTCATGGTTTATAAACACACACGAAGTCTTTGATACTGCACACAAACAACCTTTACTCAGCCTCAATTCCCTTCCTTCTTGAAGTTCAGGCTTTCCTTGCCTGTTGGGATATCCTTCTCTCCTGTTCGCATCTATCTCTGGTTATTCCTTCTCATCCTCCTTTGAAAGTTCCTCTTTCTCTTTCCTTCTACTTTGATGCATAGATTCTTTAGGATTCCATCTTTCCCTCTGATCTTCTCAAAGTGAATGAGGCTCAGAGACTTTCCTGAGGGCAGGATGATTGAGGAGGAAGGGGAGAAAGTATGAGATTTCTGAGCTCCTGAGCAGGGAGCACCACGAAGTTGGGGAAAAAATACCAAGAAGGAAGGACACATGTCTAGATAAGGGGGAGAGGGATTCTGGGTCTTCTTGGTTTCATAGGAACTGCATTCCTACATCCTCATCATATTTGGCTATAACTATCCTCCAAAGACCTTTGATAAAGATTCTCAGATGTCCCTGCTCCTGCCAAAGCACTAAGGAAGGAAAACAGGATTCAGTGACTCAGTTTGTCTTCTTTCATGTTTACACATTCAAGCAAGTAGGTTTAAAGTGAAGAGGAAGTGGAGAGAGAGGAGACAGCACCTTACTCTGGAGAGAAATGACTCATTCATTGACAGTGGGCTTCCGGTGGGATTCCAGGCCCTGTGACAAGCAGATAGGAAAGTTATTTGGGTTCAAGGAGTTTGGGTGGCTTTCCTTTCACCTGGCTCATTCTGCTGCCACGTATGACCGTTTCAGGGAATAAGGATCCAGCTCATCACCAGTCCCAGTTGGGAACTCTGCAGAGAAGTACAGTGCTGCTCACTGAGGCCTGAGAACCACCTGGAGTGCTTGTTAAAATTACTGATGCTTGGTGGCACACACCTGTAGTCCCAGCTATTTGGGAGACTGAGAGCAGAAGCATCACAAGTTCGAGGTCAGTCTGGGCAACTTTTCAAGCCCCTATTCCAAAATAAAAAGGACTGGGGATGTAGGTCAGCAGTAGAGTACCTTTGGGTTCAAATCAGAAAAAAAAAAAAGTTGATGCTCAAATCCTATTCTAGATCTACAGATCAGAATTGAGAGTGGAGAGGGCCATAGACCCCTATATTAAAATGAATTTTAATACATTTCTCAGGTAATTTAATGTAATTTTTGAGAAATCCAGGCTTGGTGGTCAAAAATTAAGGCCTTAGAGTCAGATGTATCTGGGTTCAGTTTCTGATTTTTCACTCTCAAGCTCTGCAACCTTGGGCAAGTTGTTAAGTCCTCCTAAGCTTCTGTTTTCTCATCTGTAAACCAGAATAATGATCAGAATTTTCTACCTTATAGACTTATAGAGCTATTGTGAGAATTAAATGATCTGGGGCATGTGGAGTAGTTAGAACTTATGATAAGTCGGCATATGAGTGTTATATTTCCAAAGTGCATTTTCATACTGAGTTTCTCATAATGTGCAACAAGAAGTCACAGCTAGGACTGGGGATATAGCTTAGTGGTAGTATGCTTGCCTAACATGCATGAAGCCCTGAGTTCCATCCCCAGTACCGCAGGGGGTTGGGGGAAAGAAGTCACAGCTAAAGACTAAACGAAATCTTGCCAATATTGGAAATTCTTGAACCGTGGTTCTGCTTTCAGTTCTATTATGAAAAGAAAGAATTTATCACCTTCATGTCAGGGTGGCAAAGTACAAATATGGTGTCAGACCAGACTGAAATGGAATGTCAGGAAGTCAATTAGACTGTGTAAACCTTAGCAAATCTCTTAACCTCTCTGAGTTCTATTTCTTCATTTGTAAAATGGAAGTACAGCTAGTACTCCATGTTGATGGGTTCCATACTCACAGATTCAACCAACAGAAGATTGAAAATATATTTTAAAAAAATATTGTGTCTGTCTGCCTGCCTGCCTGCCTGCCTGCCAGGAGTGGTGGCACATGCCTATAATAACAGCTATCCTTAAGGCTAAGGCAGAAGGATTGCAAGTTTGAGACCAGCCTCAGCAACTTAGTGAGGCCCTAAGCAACTCAGTGAGACCCTATCTCTAAATAAAATATTTTTTTAAAAAAGGGGGTTGGGCATGTTGCTCAGTGGTTAAGCACCCTGGATTCAGTCCCTGGCACGTAGATAAATAAATAATAAAAAGGATCGGGGGTATATCTTAGTGATAGAGCACCCCTGGGTTCAATCCTCATACCAGGAAAAAAAAAGTTGTATCTGAACTGAACACACACAGACTTTTTTCCTTGTCATTATTCCCTAAACAATACAGTGCAACAGCCATTGATGTAGCATATTCACTGTACTGGGTAATATAAGAAATCAAGAGGTGATTTGAAGTACCATATATGGGTGGATATACATAGGTTATGTGCAAATACTATATCATTTTATATAAAGGACTTGAGCTTAAACAGATTTTGGTATCCAAGGAGAGTCATGGAACTAATCCTCCTTCTACCACATGCCTCGGACTGTAGTAATAACCCCTTCCTTGGGACCTTACAATAAAGTTTTAAGCAATAACATGTATATCAGAAGTTCTCAACCTTGGCCTCATATTAGAATCATCTGGAGAACTTTATAAAAACAACCAAATTCCTATAGGCAGGACCTACTCCAGCTCAATTTCATCAGAATCTATGGTGTTTTGTATATAGGCATTTTTGGGGGGTGGTACTATGGACAGAACCCAGGGGTGTTTGGCCACTGAGCTCCATCCTCAGCCCTTTTAATTTTTTATTTTGAGACAGGGTCTTGCTAAGTTGCTTAGGGACTCACTAGGTTGCTGAGGCTGGTATTGAACTTGATTCTTCTGAGTTGTTGTGATTATAGGCATGTACCACTGTCTCAAGTTGTGGACATCAGCAATTTTTAAGGCCCTCCAATATTCAGGGATGAGGACTTCTGGTAGACCTTAAATTCTTAGTCCACCAACTGTTTCAAAGTCTACAGGAAACGAGGTCAGACCCTGTCCTTCCAGGTCAGCAGCTGGGACCCCTACACCTGCACTTCCACACTCAAGCCCTCCCCATTCCCTGAGACTAGCACTGATCTATGGATGAGGGGTGGGACCAGGTCTGCTCTCCTATTAGTTTCCACTGTCAGCCTAGACTGGATCTTGGTCGCATATTCTTTGGTTCCCAGGGCCCTGTTTTATCTTTAAACCAGAGTCCTGCCTTGAAAACCCTCCTATCTTCTGAGCCTCTTTTAAAAAAATTTTTTTTTCCCTCTCAAGTGACAGCCTTGCCCCTATGTCCACCTTGTGGCAGGACTCTGCTGCTTCCTGACTGGGCCAGCAATTCACCACGAGCTGAGCTTCTGGTCAAAGACGGCAGATCATCATTACTTTTCTTCCCCCTTATTTTCCTGAGACATCACTCAGATGGCAAAAAAGAAAGGAGAAAAAAACCTTTTTAAATGTATAAACTCATGGAATTACTTTAACTGAAGAGTGTCATCCCATTGAGGTATGAGCATGAAGCATTTGTGTCTGGACCTCTTCCTCCCTCAGTATTTCCACATTCTAATCCCTGGAACTTATGACAGTGTCAGATTTCATGTTAAAGGAGAATTAAGGTAGAAGACAGAATTAGGTTGCTAATAGCTGACTTTGAGATGGGGAAATAGACTGGGTGCACCCAAAATAACCACAAGAGCCTTTTTACATGGGAGAATAGAAGAAGATGTGCCTTTGGAAGAATGATCAGAGAGATGGGGACCCTGTTGGCTCTGAAGATATGGGAAAAGACCATGAGTCAAGGAAAGTGAGTGGCTTCTAAAGCCATAGATTCTCCAGAAGGGACATAGTCCTTTCAACTTTAATTTTAGCCCTATAAGTGAGACTTATGTGGACTTCTAACCTCCAGAATGGTTAAGATCATTTTTTTTTTTTTTTAGAGGCAGGGCCTGTCTATGTTGCCCAGGCTGGTCCTATATCTCTCTCTGCACTTAAGTGATCCTCCTGCCTCAGCCCCCTGAGTAGGTGGATAACAGGCATGCACCACCACACCAGGAATGAATAATAAATTTGTGTTGGTTTGCACCAGTAATTTGATAGAGCAGTCCTAGGAAATGAACACAGCTTTATTCTGACAACTGTTGCTGCCTGGGCTCCTGCTTATCACCATGGGCCATGGCCTCCCCATAAAAACATTTCAGTTCAATTTCAAAACTTTTAAGCCAGACGTGATGGTATACACCTGTAATCCCAGCAACTTATAAGGCTGAGGCAGGAGGATCTCAAGTTCGAGGCTAGCCTCAGCAACTTGGTGAGACCCTCAGCAACTTAGTGAGACCCTGTCTCAAAATTAAAAAATAAAAGTGCTGGGGATGTGGCTCTGTGATTAAGGACCCCTGGGTTCAATTCCCAGTACCAAAAAAAAAAAAAAAAAAAAAGAACAGAAAGAAAAAAAAAGAAAAACTATTTTAGTTACTTTTGATTATTAAACAGACTCATTTTAGCTTTTTAAAATTTAGCTATACTCATTTTGAAACCTTATATTAGACTCAGAGCTCATCCTTCGTCCTGGTGAGAGGAGTATTGACAGGGTAGAGAATTCTCAGTTCCCTTAACACCCCCTTCCCTAAACTTACCTCCCAGCATTGGATTGAGGGAGAAAGAGAGGACAAGCAATTGTCCATGGGAAATATCCTATCAGTGGGCCATAACTACTGATGAAGTTTGTGGTGGTGGCATTAGGACTTCTAGCTAGCCCAGTAATAAGGGCCTCAAACCCTGGCCTTGAGAGTCTTTTGTGGTCCCCCAAGAGCTGTAGCCCTTGGGCTGATTCTCAGCATCCTCTCATGCAAGCATTTCTCTGCCCCATGCTTCAGTAGCTCTCAGTTGTCCTGCACCCCACAATCTTATCTACCCCTCTGTGGTCCCAACTTCAGGCCTGAACTTGATCATGTAGACACTGCCCATTGCCTATTCCCTGTATTCTCTCACCATCTCTCCCTGGAGCTCCTCTACCCTGTCTGAAAGCACCTTCACCATTAAACTAGGCTGACCGATCTAGGGAATATCCAAGTGGGAGTGGGATGTGATTCTCTTAGGCCTCTTTCACAACTGTACTCTTTCAAAAGACAGCTTCTCCTCAGTTCTATTGAAAAAATACCTCCTATTGGTCTATGGGGAAGGGTGACTTGCAATGCTATTTCTCTGGTCTTAGAAAGTGGGGAACTTGAGACTTTTATTTTTCATTGTGGGCTCTGGCCATTCACTTAGGAGGATCTTCTGTGGTTCCTCACACCACCATGACACTGCCACAGTGATGCCCCTTCTACAGCAAGATGTCTGGAACCCTTTTTGGCCTTTCCTTGATGATTTCAGGATATCATTATCAATATCAACAGAGGAACGTCCCATGACATGGACAGAAAACATTTTGGCCTTCCTGGGTCACTTGGGCAGTTCACTTCCCTCTGTTCTTAGCTCCCCATCTGGGGAACAGGGTAGTGGTTGAGAATGAAATGAGGTGAGAGGTGGAACTGTACTTGGCAGACTGCTTAGTCTGCACTAAACATGCTCAAAATATCTGATGGCAAATCAAATCAGTTTTATTAGTAAAAAGAAAAACAACAACAAGAAATCAGAAATAAAAATACTTATCCCTCTGAGAAGTTCTAAAGTGACCCACTGTTTCACTTTCAATAACATCATTCTACTTCCTATTTCTTTCCCAGGAACCAGATGAGAATGAAATTTCTTTGACCTTGAAACTTGAACAATGGCTTTTCACAAAAACTGAATACACTACATGGTCAGTTTTATTAAAGTGAATGCAAATAGTTTAAAACTCAAGTAACACAGAGGGTTTACAGTGAAGAGCTGTGGCCCTCATTTTCCTACCTTTCCTTCCACCCTGTCCTCTGACACAATGACTTTTAACCCTCAAGTCCTGGTATCAATTTCTGTAGTTCTAAAGATCAGGTTTGTGTTGCTTTGTGGAGAAATTCTTCCAGAGTAAAACAAAAAGACAAAAAAAAAAAAAGAAGAAGAAAATATGAGAGGAAAGATAGATGAAGAACAGGGAGACAAACATCTGAATAAGAAGGAAAAAAAAAACTGACAAAATGAAGAGAAGCCACAGATTCATGGTTACATTGAGTGCATCCAATGTATTTCCCCATCTCAAAGTCAGCCGATTAGCAACTTCTGTCTACTCTGCTGCCTATCTCTATCTACCTATTTATCTATATCTTTACCCAAGGGTAAAGGTGACATTTCTATTTACACTTGTTAAGCAAAGAGGCTGCTTTCTGATATATGGCCCCCTTTTTTTTCAGCATTTTAAAAAAATGCAAGTTTATTATGGTAGTTTCTGTGTCAAGGTTATGATCTAGCTTTAGGTCCAAGGTCCTCTTACAGGCTCACTAACTGTTAGCAGAATTCAAAAACTGAATTATCTTTTCTGGCTTTCAGAAGACAGCTTTCAGCTCCTACAAGCTGTCCCTCAAGTTATTGCCACATGGATCATAACCCAGGCAATAGTCACGGTATTTACTTCTGAAAAGCCAGCAGGACAATCTCCGTCGTGTCTCTTTCACTTCTGACTGTGACTTCTTGATATTCTTGTCCCAACCTCTTTTTATACAGTTCTACTCAGATCTTCTTTCCTTTCATCTTCCTGTCCCCCCCTACACTTCCTTTTGACTGTTACAGTATCTACTAAATCACAGTGAGTTTAAGATAGATAAATCGTCACTTATCTATGACTTAACAGAGTTGTTTTGACTGGCTGGTTAGATGGCTCTTTCTTTTTTTTATAAGCACTCTACTGACTAAGCTATATTCTCAGCCCTGATCTGTAATCTTTTTTAAAATTTTTTATTTATTTTTTAGTTTTCAGCAGACACAACATCTTTGTTTGTATGTGGTGCTGAGGATCGAACCCGGGCCGCATGCATGCCAGGCGAGCACACTACTGCTTGAGACACATCCCCAGCCCCTAGATGGCTTTTTCTTAAGTCCAGTGAAAATAAATTTCACAGCCCCTTACTGAAAGCCATTCCCAGTCCCCATTTGCTTTTCTTTTCCCCTTGATTCTTCTTTCTCTACTGCTCTCTTTTGGACACCCTGAAATAAATGAACTGTGACAAAAAAAAAAAAAAACCTCTTCTGCGTACATACTGAGGGGTGGAGTTTTCCTAAGTAGCTGACACTTAAAAATAAATCCCCAGTAGACAAAGGGGACTGAAGGAAAAAGAAGGGGAAAGTGAATGGGAAAGACAGTAGAATTGAACATAACTTTCCTGTGTTCATATATGAATACATGACTAGTGTAACTCCACATCATGTACAACCACAAGAATGGGAAGTTATACTCCATGTATGTATGAGATGTCAAAATACATTCGACTGTCATGTATAACTAAAAAAAGAACAAATTTTAAAAAGAGAAACCCCTTCATGAAGGGAATTCTTTCAAATAGCATTTGGCCTTTACCTAAAGTTGCAATAAATCACACCTAGAAAAATGCATCTTTATTTCAAGAGTAATTTCCCATTATTTAAGTGTACTTTTCCATTATTTTAACCTGTTGTACATTCCAGAATTTAAAATGTAAGGTATACAAATTTCTGGCATGGGGGAAGCAAAATGTGATCTGTTTGGTCTTATATATCAATCTTTCTCTTAAAATGTTTAAGTATATATAGACGATTGTCTTTTTAAAATTATAGTGTACTTTAAAATACCAAAAACTATGTCAAACGATAAAAGTTCAATGCAAAAGTTGAAAAAAAAAAAAAGAAGAAATCCACAGTACATCTACCAATATGGATAAATCACAAAAGTCACATAGAGTAAAAAAGTAAACTGCAGAGTGATGTATATAGAAAAACACTAGTTATACGTTACTGTATTTTACCACATGTTAAGTGTATCAGTAGCCAAAGAACATTGTACTTGTCCAAGTCAAAACTTGGAATAAAGAAATTAAATTTGAAACTGAAAATCCGAGTTATGATACATCAGTTTAACCAATAAAGACACTATGCTGTTAATACAAACATATTATTAAATTTTCATCCAGATTAGGTCTTACTTAGTAGTAATAATGGCTTTACAGCAGCCTGATACTGCCCTGTTTCTCTATCACCTACCTAGATGCCTTTTCACATAATTAATATTACTCAAAACCATGCAGCTGAAATGGCACTGTACGAATATCCGTTGGCTAAATGGAGACCCAGGAAGTTCTTGTGTAACCAGGATGAGAGTATATCTTTTAGGATCCCTGGAGGATCAAACACTATGCTGTTAATACAAACATATTATTAAATTTTCATCCAGATTAGGTCTTACTTAGTAGTAATAATGGCTTTACAGCAGCCTGATACTGCCCTGTTTCTCTATCACCTACCTAGATGCCTTTTCACATAATTAATATTACTCAAAACCATGCAGCTGAAATGGCACTGTACGAATATCCGTTGGCTAAATGGAGACCCAGGAAGTTCTTGTGTAACCAGGATGAGAGTATATCTTTTAGGATCCCTGGAGGATCACTTTTACTCTGATACCCAAATGAACTGGCGAAGTGTTCACTCCATGGATGAAGGGAACACTCTCTCTCCCCTAAGAATTCCTTGAATTCCTGGGGACTATTCCAAATAGTTCATCCTGCAGCCTGCTCCCCATTGTCACTTGAAGCAGGAAGCTGTAATTCTCTCTTCTTGCGGGTATGTCCCGCCCCGCCACCCCCACCCCCGCTTGGAAAACCCTGCCTAAATGTCATTCCTGACCTGCCCCCACAGGTTCTGCTCATACAAGCTTTTGTACATTCTACAATTTTATTAAAGGTGTGCTGATAACAGAATATTACAACACAGTGTAACACAGACGTTTACAGTTGAATATTACATGTAAATACTCATAAATGCACTGGTTATTTTCTGCTATGGGGACTTTCTAATTAAGCTCTGACTTTGGCCTCTCCTTCTGCTGCTAACCTGTTCCAAGTCTCTCCTCCTCTCTAGTCTGCTACCTTCAGACCCCAAATTCTTGTTACTTTTCTTATGCTAACTCAAGCTTGTTCTACATCTTCAGCTTTGCCCTCCTAACCATGCCTCACTCAAAGAGACTCATTCTGTTGCTGTAAGAGAACACCTAAGACTGGTAAGTTCTAAAGAAAAGAGGTTTATTTTGGCTCAGTGATCTGGAGGCTGAGAAATCCAAGGTCAGATGGCTGCATCTGGTGAGGGCCTTGTGGAGATTTAACTCAAGGCAGAAAGGGAATTAGGCACATACAGAAGAGAAGCAAGTCTTGCTGTAACCTAGTTTTGCAATCAAAAGAGCTCACTCACATGAGATGGCATTAATCCCTTCATGAGGGTGGATTCCTTATGACCCAAATGCCTTTTGAAAGTCCCATCATCTCTCAACACACTTGTCACTTTAGGCACCAAGCTGCAATATGAGTTTTGGTGGGGAAAACACATATTCAAACTATAGCATCCATCAAGGTATTTTTTCTAATCCACACCTCAAAAAAAAAAAAAGCCTCAGAATTCTTTTTCCCCTGTTATGAATTCTATCTTATCTTTATGATACAAAAAAGAACTATAGTCAATAATTTCTTTAAATGGCACTTTTCCCCTTCTGCTGCATTTTCTTATATCTGCAATATAAGAAACAAAATTGATGATGTCTACTGTTTCTAGAGTACCTAGCAGATTCATATCTTGTCTATAATCCTCACAAAGCCCTGTAAAGTAGTAGGTGGTGTCTGTTTCTCTATCCCTGCCTAGATGCCTTTTCACATAATTAATATTCTCAAAACCATACATCTGAAATGGCACCGTTTGAATATGCATGAGTGAGTTTCCATATTACAGACGGAGACACTGAGGCTCACAGAAGGTTAAATGACTTGCCTACTTGCTGATCTGTAGGGTTTGACTGTGAACCACTGGCTATTTTATTCCTAAGCAAATGCCTGCCTCTCTACACAGCACGGAAGACAACAGCCCCCACCACCACTCCAGGATGCCTTTCATTCATGTGTTATTCTCTATCTGCATTCTTCTTAGGATTCCACTGCAATGTCTTTGTGGATCAACTATTTCTGGATCATCTTGGCTGTGGCCATCATTGTCGTCTCCTTGGTCCTAGGGCTCATCCTATACTTTATCTGTCGGCGCCAGCTCAGACAAGGTAACAGTCATCTCATCTGGGCAGGTGGATGGATGTCAGGACATTAGAGCTCCTTTCAGGCAGGAAGATGAGTCCTGGGCCTTATGGGCTGAATTTTAAATTAAGGGTCATGCTTTCTGGGTTTGAGTCCTACTCCTGCCACTAACTTATGTTCCCAAGGCCTCAATTTCCCCATATGCATAGTGAAAGGGGGAGGTTAACTAATCTCCAGGGACCCTTCCAGCCCGGAGGGTTTGGATGGAAGCAGAATTTGTTTCAAGGCACAATATGCTCAAAAGCTTTGTCTTTGAAATGTGACTATTGATTACAGCATCTTGTGTCTGGAGCTTAAAAGAAAATACACATATACAAAATATCAAAAACTATGTTTGGGAATGAAATACAAACTTGACCCATGACCAACATGTTTGGCAACCCTGATTGCCTTCTACAAGACCATACTCTTGAACTTTCTGGTATTTGGTATTATCTCCTCCTTGACCAAAGGATTTGGACAACCACACACACACACACACACACACACACACACACACGACTGCTTAAAGATTAACACTAACTTTAGATTATCTACAATTAAGTTTTCAACTTTGCCTTTCTTCTCCAAAGTATGGTGTGTTTTCTTGAGAGTTTATCCCTTTAAAAAAATGACCTAAACCAGTAGTATATAGAGGATGGTAAACATACTGAGAGGTACAGCCACCTTCCCCTGGGGCACCCTGGGTAGACATCCCTCAGTAAACAGGACACTACCCTCCTGGGCATCTAGACACAACCTCAAATTCTGGTTCAACCCAGTGCTGAAAAGTCGAGATTATATAAGAAGTGAAATTTTTTTGTTATTCTTCTCAATCTCTTTTTAGAAATAAGAAGATTAAATTTCAGAGGGAGACAGAGCCTTAATAGAGGTGCCATAGGAATTGGTGGCAGAGTTGGGACTAGAACTCAGATGTGCTGGGCTTATAGTTCAATGCTCTTTCTCCTCTACCTCTTAACATAATTAATTTTTTAATACAAAAATTGTCTCCTGGGATAGGGATATAGCTTAGAGGTAGAGCATTTGCCTAGCATGTGTAAGGCCCTGGATTTGATCCTCATTACTAGAAAAAAAAAAAGTACATTCTGGGCCCCTGTAATCCTCTATCCATTTACCTTCTTAAAACGTTTCATTTTCAGTTATGGACCAAAGTATGACCCTAAATAAAACTTTCCTATTGGGCTGGGGTTGTGGTTCAGCAGTACAGTGCTTGCCTCGCACATGTGAGGCACTGGATTCAATCCTAAGCACTGTATAAAATAAATGAATAAACAAAATAAAGATATTGTGTCCATCTACAACTAAAAAATAGATTTTAAAAAAACTTACCTATTCTCTTTTATCTTAAACTACTTATACTAACAAGTAAGTTATAATTAATATGTCTAACACTTCACAATTTACAAACCAGTTTTCCCATTCATTTTCTCATCTCTTCCCAACTACTTTTGGTTGCTCATATGACCTGCATTTCTGAGTGCCAACCAAGTATCAGGCATAATACCAGGCAATGAAGAAACACAGCCTATGTGGTTGTTGTCCTCACTGGGTTAGCTCCCGCCTCTGTGGTCAGATGGCCTGGGGTCAAATTGAAGCTCTATCAAGCTGGGTTCAGTGGTGCATGCCTGTGATCCCAGCTGCTTGGGAGGCTGAGGCAAGAGGATCAGAAATTCAAGGACAGCCTAGGCAATATATCATCACCCCATGTCAAATAAACAAATTCTAGCTCTATCACCTAGTACCTTTGTATTCCTAAGTCTATTTGTATTCCCTCTTGACAGTTCTTCTTCCAAATGTTCTGGACCCACTTGGTCTCTGAGGACTTCTAAACTCTAGAATCACAACTTTAGCGAATTCATCCCAAATCATTTTGGTTTTCCCCCACCTTAGGCAAGAAATGGAAAATTTCCAAGTCCATGAAACAAATCCATGGAGATGAAGAAGAGAAGATGTATGAGTAAGTGTGTGTGTGTGTGGGGGGGGGGCGGGAATCCTGCTTCTTAATTTTGAGAATCACCTGTTCACTTCTAACCTTTCCCCTCCACCACTGTTCTGGTATGACTGAGACATCCACTTTTCCTGTGGAGTTAGCAAAACATTGTTGTGTGCCAATGCTCCCACTTTAAGGAAAAGGCACTATCTGGCACCCTGTTCTCCAAGGCTTCCCTTCTTGAGTCTATTTTGACAGATGTTGCACGTTGGGCTGTGTGCTCTAGGCCTACCACCTGCTCTACATCTCTTCTTTAGATGCTTCTTTGTTTTACTTTTGTTGTATGTGATGTGTTTGGGGATCTATGAGTGGTATCTGTGTAAGTGGCCCCCAAGGCCACCCTTAGGCTTGATAATTCACTAGAAGGACTCCTGGGATCCAGAAGCGATGACACTCAACATTACAGTTTAATCCAGCAAAAGTATACAGCAAAGAAAAAAGACACATGGAGTGGCATCTACTACATACAAACCTCCAGTTGTCCTCCCCCAGTGGTCTTAAGGATCCCCTTAATTCTCCCAGCAATGATATGCAATGACACATTTGAAGTATCTCCAAACAGAGACACTCTCCTGAGCCTTGCTGTTCGGGGTTCACTGGGGACTAGTTAAGTAGGCATAGATTGCCCACATGACTGACCTAGTTAGCAACTCAATCTCCAGAGCCTCCAGGAGTCAAATTGACACAGCATGGTCCAGGGTCCCAGGCAAACAAAAACATTCACCATGTATCATGTCATGAGCATAAACTATCTGTCAGGACATTCCAAGAGCTGGAAGCTGTGATCTCCCAGAAGCCAGTCAAGAAGAGCTCTTTCTTTGCCTTATATGCACTATTTAAAACAAAATCTATGCTCTTCTAAAAGGCTTTTGTTGGTGCTCAGGGTGCACGGCCCATAAAACCCCTACCCAACCCATTCTGATCCCCTTGAGAAGTAAGACAAGGTAGCTAGATGACCAAAATATCACTTTTTATTAAGAATAAAACTGGTACTGCAGTTAAGACTTCTTACCAAAGTATAACATGAATACAGAAAGATGCATAGAGTAAGTACACAACTCAGTGAATTTCCCCAAACTGAGCAGACCCAGGTAATCAGCACCCAGTTCAAGCTAAAATATTACCAGCACCTCAGATACTTGCCTTATACCACCCTCTGCCATGAAAACCCAAAGGTACCTACTACCTGGAATAGAGTATTCCATTGTGGGAGTAGACCATGATTGACTTATCCATTCTATTGCTGAGGGACATTTGGGTAGTGTGATGGTTAATTTGATATGTCTCTTTCTCTAGAGAACCCAGGTTAATATAGGTCATATCCAGTTTGGGCCTTATGTTGATCAGTTTTCCATTACTAGAACAAATACTTGAGACAATCAGCTTATAAAGAGAAAAGGTTTATTTTGGTTCACAGTTTTGAAGGTCCTAATCCATGACTGTTTGGCCCCAATGCTTTTGGGCCACCACATTATGGTGGAGAGTACACGGTAGAGCAAAACCACTTGCCTCATAGCCAGGTAAAAGAAAGAAAGAAAGAGAATTGCGGGAAGGGAGGGAGGGAAGAAAGAGGAAGAGACCAGAACATTTCTACTATCTCCCAATGGCACCAAGCTGGGGACAAAGACTTTAATGCATGGGCCTCTGAGGGACATTCAGTAGGGCTGTTATGAATAGCGCTGCCATGAACATTCTAGTACAGGTCTTTTGGTGAACATATGCAAACATTTTGGTAAGCTATAGACTTGGTGGTAGAATTGCTGTCTTGGGTTGTGTGTACATTCAGCTTCAAGAGAACATATGTTTTGCAAATAAAAATACACCCGATGCATACCACCCTCTCCTAATTCAGTTCAGGTGAACACAGGAGATTGCACTTTACACACTAAGTTATAAAGCTTTAACTCTCTGCCCTCAATTTCAGCCATTCACTGGGCCAGAGGAAATGGTTTCTTTACGGTGGTAGTTGCAAATGGGATGTAGGACCTTGAAAGGAAAGAAAATGCTTCCAATTTGTAGGGATTAAGATTTGAATGTTCAACCCATTCATTTTCCTTGATGCTTTCTTATAAATACGTAGGCATGATCCAAACCAAGTACTGATTCCTCTTTCTCTCTTTCCAGGAATGTTATTAATCAATCACCAGATCAGTTACCCCCTCTGCCACCCAGAGATTTGCATTTTCTAGGAGATTCTTGTAAGTACATTTTGCTGGTAACAGTTTCATTCAAGGTAGGATAGAAAATTTATCTAGATGACTTGATCATGTCAAACTGCCATAACAAAAATACCATAGGCTAAGTGGCTTAAACAAGAGAAAAATTATTTGCCCACAGTTCTGGATGCTGGAAGTCTGAGAACAGGGTGCTGGCTGAATTGGTTCCTGATAAGGATTTCTTCTCTGTTTGCAGACTGCTGCTTTCTTACTATATTCTCACATGGGCTTTCCTCAGGGTATTTGAACTGGGGAAGAAAGCAAGAGAGCCAGCTCTTTGGTGTGTCTTCTTATAAAGATATAAATGCTTTTGGATTTATATCTTATGACCAAATAGAGCCACACTGTGGGGTTAGGGCTTCAGCATATGAATTCTGGAGGAACACAAATACGTAGTCCATACAATAGGACTGGCAGATGAAGCGTCCTGTTTAAAAATGACAAACAAGTTTCAACAAGGTCAGAAATGCCAGATTTAGTGGCACATGCCTATAATCCCAGCAGCTCAAGAGTCTGAGGCAAGAGAATGGCAAATTTGAGGCCAATCTGGACAATTTAATGAGACCCTAAAAAGGACTGGGAATGTAGCTCAATCCCTAGCCAAAAAAGGTGTGTGTGGGCAGAGAGTGGCGGGGCCAGAATAAATACCAATGTTCCTGATACTCTAATGTGAATGTATAAATTCATGTTCAAATCCCAGCTTAGAACATGAGTAAAAAGGAACTTAGATTATCACTATTCTTTTTTATTGTTTTTATTTTTTTGGTATTGAAGACTGAACCCAGGGGCACTTTACCACTGAATTACATCCCTAGTCTTTTTTATTTTTTGTTTTGAGACAAGTTCTCACTAAGTTGCTTAAGGCTTTACTAAGTGGCTGAGGCTGACCTCAAACTTGTGATCCTCCCAGCCTCCAGAGTTGCTGGAACTACAGGAATGTGCCACTGTGCCCAGCAACTGTCAACTATTCCCATCAGATAAACGCACCTTGTCCCCTGACTGGAATGTTCTCCTTCAGCTCTTTGCATAACTGGCTTTTCCTGGTTTTTCTGGTGTCACCTGACAACCCTATCAAAGTACTTCTGCCACTTTTCCTTTATGAAACTTATAGCAGTTATCCAAAATCGTCTTGAGTTATCGTTAGTTTATTATCTATTTCCCCCACCAGAATATAAACTTGAGGAAAATAGGAGCCTTTCTTGTCTTGTTTACCACTGTTCATACACCACCTGGAATAGTGTCCTGAGCTTAAGAGATACTTAATAAAAAATGTTTTAACTGAATGGACAAATAATAATATTAGCTAATATTTATTGAGCATGCTTTGTGTGGCAGCCCCACTTCTAGCCATGACCTCATTTAATCCTTATAACAACTCTATCTGTCATTTCCCTTTGACAGATGAGAACACTGAGGCATGGGGAACTTAGGTGACTTACCTGTGGTCACAAAGCTAGATAAGTACTAGCATCTGAACATGAACTCAGATCTCTAACTGCTGAGTTCTACAAGAAATGAAATAGGAAAAGACGAGATTGCCATAGAGGCAATTCCTATCCGCATCACAGGTAGAGCTGAGTTGTTTCATCGTTATATTAGTCCATTTTTCACTACTCCTACAAAATACCCGAGGCAAGGGGTAACTTACCCCCAAAACAAAAAAGTTTATTTAGCTCACAGTTTGGGAGGCTGAAAATCTAAACAGCATGGCACCAACTCTGGGGAAGGTGTTCCTAGCTATATATCACATCTTGGCAGATGGCATCATGGTGGGAGGGCGTGTGACAGTAAGAGATCACATGGGGAAGCAGGAAGCCAGAGAAGGGACCAATAACAATCTCTCCCTAGGTCCCATTACTTAAAAGCTTCACCACCTCTTAATGTTGCTATGGAGCCATTCTACACTAATTCCAGCTTTTGAAAACACCACTGTTTTCTTCCTCCTTAGCAGAGAAGTTTGTACATGAGCAATTCAGATAGTCCTTGGAAACAGTGTAAGTCACTGGAAGGGAAGCACCATCAAGGAAATAATGGTTTGTTTCACTTCCTAGTGAGAATGAGAATCTGTAGACACAGTGGATTCAACTGGCTGTCAGCTCCGCTCTGCTTTCCTAAGCATTTGCCTCACGGTGCACAAACAGTGCAGACTTAGTCAGAGACGTGAGAGTCAGGATGTCTGATCAATATTTGTCATTCACTCACATGGGTGATCCTGAGACCTGTGTCACATCTGAGTTTCCTCTGACAAATGGGGGAATCTGGTCCACCAGGAAGTGAGATCACCAAAACCCATAGAAACCATGCTGAGCCACTTAAATAAAAATACATCAATACACAATAGCTTTGCATGTAACGACTTTTTTGTGTATTTTAGCCCTACAGGAAATCCCAGCTCAGTCACCACCTATGTATTCATCGGTGAATAAAGTTAGAAACAAGAAGCTTGTTTCCAGCCTGGGCTACATTGAGCCTGAAGATGACTATGATGATGTTGAAATACCTGCAAATACGGAAAGCCATCATTTTAAAACAACCATGTCTTCTTTTTGACAAGAGGAAGAGGGTTCACACAGATTATTTTAAAATGATCAAGAATGGTTGAACTTGAATAGGTCCCTGGGTCCTGAAAGCCAGTTGTTATTTAATGAAGCTCTGTAAGAAAAGCACTTCCTGAACCTTAGATGAAGCTGCCTCAGAGATTGGATATAGTAGCCAGAGGAAAGACACGATGCTTGGTCCTGAGAATCAAGAGAGGTCAGCCTTTGTGCTTCTGTCGGGGAAGTATTCATGGGGTACACCACTGGGCTCCAAGCTCACACCTCTGACGAATGTCTCTTTTCTCAACATTCTCCTTTTGTTCTCTTGATTTATGCAGTTCTCAGTGATTTTATGTCTTGGTATTTGATGTACAGAGTTTCCCAGGCTCCAATCCCCAGGTAGGCCCTCGCAAAGCATGCAGGTATTCCTTCCGCCCCACCCACCCTGCACTGAGAGGCTGTGGGTGGTTGTTACAGCCAAGCACCCTTGTTCAGAAGTCACCGCTTCACACTTTACAAATTTTACAGTGCAGAAAGTGCACTGTATTCTTGAGCAACCTCACCATCTATACACACCACACCCCAAGCCCCCATGTCTTTATATGATTTAGGGCACTGACCATAGAGAATCAAGTTCTTACCTAAGTTTTCTCCTGTGCTCACAGGTAGCCTTAGAACAATCAACCAAAGACAGAAGCTATCTTCTCATTTACACCTAGAGGTGTCATTTTGCAACAGGTGTGCTGAGGGTGCTACAGGAAAAGTAGGTCCTAGCAAGAAAAATCATGGGTCAGCATCACTGAACAATGGCATATTCAAGATAAGAGTTCAGAGGACTTAACCCTCCCATCCATAATTTACTTATTTTTTTTTCTGGTACTGGAGATTGAACCCATGGATGCTCTATCACTGAGCAACATTCCCAGCCCTTTTTGTTTATTATTATTTATTATTATTATTATTTTGAGATAGGGTCTTGCCAAGTTGCCCAGGCTGGCCTTGACCTTGCAATCCTACTGCCTCAGCCTCCTGAGTATCTGGAATTATGGAAATGCGCAACCACGCCTGACCTACCTGTAACTTTCATAATTGCTCCTTCTCTTCCATGCTGGTCTTCCTCAGGGTTCTTTCCCCATTCCTGCTCTCATCTCCCTCTAAATACTTATGAATGGTCTCACCGTTGTCCATGAGCTTCGTGTCCTCCATTATGATGACTTCCAAATTGCAGATTCCGGCTGAGCGCTCTCTCTCTCTCTCTCTCTCTCTCTCCACCCTCGGCCTTCCCACCCTCCTTTTCTCTCTCTCCTGGGTTGCTTCCAGGACATCTCAATATGATTATCCTGTAGAACCCTCAAGTTCAACATATGCCAAAAGAAACTGATCACCTACTCCCAAGTCCAAACTATTTGTGCTTTATTATCTTCTTAGTTGCTGGTGTCAAAAATTAGCATCCTTCTACTCTCTCTACCTTCTGTTTACATCATTTTCCACACCTTCTGTTGATTGTGCCTCAGCCCACAGTGTCCATCACCATTCTGAGGTCAGGCCATGGCCAGTGCTTGCCAAGAGAATTTAGCAGCTTCCTACTGTTGTCCTGCCTCCGGCATCTCCTCCTCCAGATCACTCGCTATATGACAGCCAATGATTTTGTAAAGTGAACATCTGACTGCTTCATTCCCCTGCTTAAATCTCCTCTTTGCCCATTAACCTCAGGGAAAAAAAAAAAAAAAAAAAAACTCCTAACCTGGCTTGCAGGATTTATCAGGATCTGGTTACTGGTTATTTCCTGCCAACCCCTTTTCCCCCACCTCCTTGCTATCTTCACTTTTCTCCAATTTTTTGTTCTCACCTTTGCCATGGCTTCTCTTGTCCTTGTGCCTGTGCACAGCACTGTTCCTGCTGTATGGAATCTCCTTCCCCACTTTCCAATCCTACCTATCTCATCTGAAGTATCCTTTTCTTATCGCCCCAAATTTGGGTCAGGTGCTCTCTTAGATGCTTTCCTCTTGTAGCATTAGTACACATAATGATCTGTTCATTTGTCTTTCTCTTCCATTTGGCTGAAAATAACATGAGGATAGGGTTTGTGTCTTTTTTCCTCCATTGTTTTCCTGGTTCCTAGCACACTATGGATGCTCAATAAATAAATCGGATGACAATTGAATTGAGTGAATGCGCAAACACCTCTGAGTTCTCATTTCTCCCTATATTTAGCTCTATGGAAAAGCTTCTCCCTTTGCATTATAATTGTCTGGTGACTTTCTTCCCCCCTTCCTAATCTGGGGACTCCTTTCGGGGGGAACTTGTCTGCCTCATCCCTATGTTGGTCGGCACTCAGTAAACATTTATCAAATGTTGAATATTAATGGAAAGTCTACACAACAATAACAAGAAAAATTAAGTTTTCCTGGACATTTGTAAATTGATTGAGACTTTAAACCAAGCACATGTAATAAAGCCATGTTTTCTTCCAAGGAAATTGTTATCAGTTTGGATGACAGACTAAATATATCAAGATTTCACAGGACCTTTGCATGTATCCCAGCCCCTTTGGAAATCCCAAGTCAGTGACTTGGGATTTAATAGCACTGTTGATTTAATAGCACTTAAAAATAAGAAGATACAGCCAGGCAAGGTGGCCCACACTTGTAATCCCAGCAACTCATGGAGACTGAGCTAGGAGGATGGCAAGTTCAAGGCCAGCCTTGTCAATTTAGCGAGACTTTGTCTCAAAATAAAATAAAAAATGCTAGAGTGGTATAATTTAGTGGTAGAGGGCCTCTGGGTTCAATTTCCAGTAGTGAAAATGGGGTGGGGAGAGAAAAGGAGAGAGAAACAGAAAGAAAGAGAGAAAAGAAAGAAGATAATTTCCATCCTGAGTTACACTGGGCCTGAAGATAACTATGATGCTGATGAATACCTATAAATAGTGAAAATCATCATTTTGAAATAACTGCTATTCTATCACCTAAATGGTTTTGAAAACTCATGCCCTATATCAGGGGAGTATAGTTTTCTATTTTTTTTTAAATGTTAGTGTATTTTTTACACTTTTATTTGCTTATTTTTATGACTATAGAGAATCAAGTTCTTACCTAGGTTTTCTCCTGTGCTCACAGGTAGCCTTAGAACAATCAACCAAAGACAGAAGCTATCTTCTCATTTACACCTAGAGGTGTCATTTTGCAACAGGTGTGCTGAGGGTGCTACAGGAAAAGTAGGTCCTCCCAAGAAAAATCATGGTCAGCATCATGCTGAGGATAGAACCCAGTGCCTCATATATGCCTAGGCAAGCCTTCTACGACTAAGCCACAACAGCAGCCCCAGTTTTCTTTATAATAATTGCAGTCTATCTCTAAGAAACAAACAAACCAAAAAAAAAAAAAAAAAAAACCTGTTTTCAGGAAATGCATTGGTATTACCAGTAACAAATTTTATAAATCCTATGTATGGGTTATGATGCTTGAGGCCACAAGAAACTATCCAACTAAAAATAAATTCTTACAAACAAGAAGTCTAGAGAAGAGCACTCCAGAATTCAGCGGTACCATGACTTAAGCATATGGGCTGACTTTGACTCTCGTAACTTTCTCCTTTAACTTTATCCAGATTTCAATTATGTGAATTTTGGGGGAAGAAACATAAGCATATTTTTCTGTCTTTCACCCCCCTCCCCAATTCATGTGGCAAAATAGCTACCATTGCTCTGAGCATGTCATTCTTACATGCTAACATCCAAAATTAGGAAAGAAAGATGTATTTCCTCCCATGTACATCTTTTTATTTAGAACAAAAACTTTTCCCAGGGCTGGGGTTATGGTAGAGCATTTGTCCAGCTTGTGTAAGGCACTGTGTTCAATTCTCAGCACCTCATATAAATAAAATAAAGGTCCATTGACAATTAAAAAAATTTAAAAAAAAACAACAAACAACCCTTTCCCAGAAGCACCCAGCAATGTTCCCTAATGTCTCATGGGCTTAGATTGGTCACATGACTGTGTCTTTGTCCATTTTATCTGCTTTAACAAAATACCTTAGACTGGGCAACAGAAACTTATTGTCCATAGTTCTGGAGGCCGGAGAGTCCAAGATCAGGCACCAATAGATTTGGTGTCTAGTTAGGACTGGTTCTCATCTTCAAAGATGGTGCCATCTTGCTGTATCCCACATTGTAGAAGAGACAGATCGCTTTCTGGGTTCTCTTTTATAGGGGCATTAATCCCATTCACAAGGACTCTGCCTTCACCATCTAATCACCTTCTAAAGACCCTACCTCTTAATTAATACCAATACCTTGGGGATCAGATTTCAATTATGTGAATTTTGGGTAAATTCAACATAAGCATATTTTTTTGCCTCTGCCCCCCCATTCATGTACTGCTCACATACAAAATATACTCATTTGATTTTTTCTTTCTTTCTTTTTTAATTTTTTAAATTTGTTTTAATTAGCTATACATGACAGTAAAAGGCACTTTGATACATCATATATAATGTAGTATAATTTCCTGACTGCATTATAAAGAATAAAAATACATGTTCAAGAGAATGGCCAAGTGAACATTTTTTTTTAAAGAGAGAGGGAGGGAGGGGGGAGAGAGAGAGAGAGAGAGAGAGAGAGAGAGAGAGAGAGAGAGAGAGGAGAGAGAGAGAATTTTAATATTTATTTATTTATTTTTTTAGTTTTCGGTGGACACAACATCTTTGTATGTGGTGCTGAGGATCGAACCCAAGCCGCACACATGCCAGGTGAGCGCGCTACCGCTTGAGCCACATCCCCAGCCCCCAAGTGAACATTTGATAAGGAGATTAATAGGGACAGATGGAACTCATCAAGAGGATGGAAGAGTAACCCTGAAGGCATTTTGGAAATCTTTGAGGTTCTTCTGCCCTTCACGGGCTAGGGTGCCAGGGCCTTGATGAATGATTTCAAGGTGCTGCCTCCTATAACCTCCTCAGCTCCAAATCTCATTCTTGTGGCTACACATGATGTTAAATCCCACTGGTTGTAGAGTTCTATATGTGCACAAGGTAATAATGTCTGATTCATTCTACTATCCTTCCTACTCCCATACCCCGTCCCCTTCCCTCTTCACCCTTCATTCCCCTCTACCTAATCTAGCCCCGAAGTCTTAACTCATTCCAACTTCAACTTTAAATTCTTAGTCTAAGTATCTTCTATGTATCAACATGTGACAGAACTCCTTTAAAAATAAAAGCCCCGAGTTAGTTTTTGTCCCCAGATTCCTGGCAAGTTATTTTTCTCTCTGAACTTCCTTATGCTGAGAATGGAAACCGAGAAGCTACCACATGGCCTAAACAGGAATTGTGATATATTCTCTGGCTAGCACAGCCTACCTAAATCTACATATGTATATTCCTTGGTTTTTACTTTAAATATATTGTAACTGCTTCTATAGGACCAGCAGAGACAAATTAGCTGCTTCTCTCCAGTTTTGTCCAAACTCTATTAAACATTCATTTTTCCTTTTTATATCACTCACTTATTTCTTATGAGGGTGGACAACTGAATCCAGCCAGCTGAGATACAGACAGATTCTCTGGTTTGACTGCTGGTCAAACTTAATTTCTACTCATTCTAGATATGGGTAAAATTAAAGGTACAGATTCATCCTGAGCCTACTGCTTTCCAACTATGAGCCTATGAAATCAATTAAGTTATATGCTTCTAAAATACAACAGCAAGACAGGTGTACAATAGATATTTTCATTCCAAAATGGAGAAATAGGAAAGAAGGAAGGAAGGAAGGATAATAGATCCCACATAATCAAAAATTCAACAGGACAAAAACTTGAAATCTTAAGGCTCAAGAATAACCTTTGACTATGTCACACCTTCCAGACATGACTGAGTAAGGATTGGGCCCCCACGGCTCTCAGAAGCCTGGCCTCTCTGGCTGTGTTGGGTGCATTTCCCTCCGTAGTTTTCATAGGTTGAAGTCGGGCCTGCAGTTCTCTCAGGCTGGAATTGCTCTTTGGTGGCTCTATCATTCTGGGACCTTGGGGGTGGCCCTGTCGCTGCTGAGCACTGCTATACTAAGGGCTCCTGTAGTGTCTCAGCCTGGGGCATTCTCTGCCTGGATCTTAAGGCTATTCCTTAAAACTGAAATGGAAGTAGCCACACCCTAAAAGCTTGCTCACTTTCTGCACCTGTGGAGATAGCACTGTGCAGATGTCACCACACTGTACCATCTATACCTTCCAGAGGGGTGACCTAAGTTACTCCTGGGCCCACTGGAACCACAGCTGGGGTGGCCCAGGAGGCTGTAGGAGGTAGTGCCTTGAAACCATTCTGGCACTCTGGCCTGTGAAGGGCAGGGGAACCCCAAAGATCTCCAAAATGCCTTCAGGGTTATTCTTCCCTCCTCTTGATGAGTTCCATTTGTCCCTATTAATCTCCTTATCAAACGTTCACTTGGCCATTCTCTTGAACACGTATTTTTATTCTTTATAATACAGTCAGGCTGAGAATTTTCCAATTTTAAAATTTATTTTTATTTATTTTGCAGTACAGGGATTGAACTTCGGGGCATTTTACTCCTGAGCTGCTATGTCCACAGCTTTTTTTTTTTTTTTTTTTTTTTGAGACAGGATCTCACTAATTGAACTTCCAGTCCCCCTGCCTCCACCTCTGAAGTCACTGGGGATTATAGGCATGTGCTACTACACCCAGTTCCAAATCTTTAAACTTCTGGTTCCCTTCTGATAATAAATCCTAATTTTAATTCATCTCTCTCTTTTCACATTTTACTACAAGCAGTAAGAGAAGCCAAGCCACACCTTCAACATTTTGCTTAGATTTCTTCCTCCAAATGAGCCAGTCAGGGGCAGAAAGGGGAAAATGCACTTGAGGGACTTTAATTTATAGCTTTTTAGCTATTAAAAGCATGGCACGTGCTTTTCCCCACTTTCTCACCTTAACCCATAGCTTGATATGTGCCTTTCTCCATCCTTTCACTCATTCACTCAGTCCCTGGACCTCAGAAACCAGGTCTATTATTAAGCAGGATGCCCTCACCATAACTCTCCACCTCTAAATAACACAAGGGGTAAAATTGTTGGGGAGCCATCAAAATGGCAAATTCCCAGGGCCTTTAACTTATTACTTGCATGATTTATGTTCTCTCCCTCTTCATAATGATATGTTC